CACTACGTATTTGAGTAAGCCAGCGATCTTCTTAAATGCATGTTGTGGCGTCAATACTCAAACTTTTCACAAATACCTTAAAAATGTACACACATTATTTGCTTCATAAAAGCCTAGTGGATAAACAGTGATAGTCCTCCAAGTAGGAAGCCAGAAGCTCCCATGGCCTTGCTGAGTGGTGAGAGTTAGAAGCAACAGGGGCGAGGTCTAAATCCTGATCTTCTATGAGACAAACTGCATTAAACCAGGAGCTGCCCTTTTAAAACTGACCATATCCACACTCTAACAAGTAAAGGGGCATTCACTAAGCACAGACTCACATGTGACCAAGGTGAAGAGAGAGCAAGAAATGCAGACATTGAGCCAAAGAGCCAGAGCTCTCTGAGAAATCCGGCAGTGAAAACAGTAAGGACAGAAAAACAGTGGGAGAGAGAGAAAATGACTACAAGGGGAATCAGAACACATCATAGATGAGACACATCAGGAGAAAGGGAAAGAGAGGAAACAGAACTCACACCATAAACACAAGCACCCCTTGCTCGTGAGAGTCCTGGCGGGGCTGAAACCACAGCAAGCTCCCCAGGGAAAAGGGACCACACAAAGCACAGGGGGAAGACAAGACATCCTCTGAGAGAGGGACCTAAAAGCCACAGGGTGCTGAGGGGATCCACCCAGAGAGAGGGAAATGTCAGGGGAATCTGGACAATGTTGGGGGACAGAGGGAGCATTGTTTCAGCAGTGCTGTGCTTTGGATCCCTCTCAGCATTCTCCTGGGCTCTTACCCTCTTAAAAGACTTAGTGGTCCCCTGCGCAGCAGCTGTACTCTGGAAAGTTAATGCAGACACTGAATTAGCAAATGAAAATCTACTGGTTCTGCAGGACATTCGGGAGCCCCCATTCCGGCGAGCCTCTATCATAATATTTTCATCAACTGACCTAAGGTTGTCTCGTGTTTCTGCTCAGACACTGACACTGAATTCTTGGAAAACTTTTCTAAGAAATCTACATGTCTGCATAGAACACACCATGACTTTCTTGGAGATACTAGCACCACGTATGGGGGCGTTTTATAAAGTAAAATATATTCACAAAACGTACAAAGTTGCAAAATGCACAAAACAAAGCAGATCTTGAAAAAGACAATTGCTTACTGTCTGAGAGCTAAAATAAAGAAGAATATCACCTTGTGTTTTAAGAATCAAGAATGTCACCTTATCCTTGTTATGTCTCAACTAGGAATGTCTACAGTCAGCAATTCAAAGTTTTTACTGCTCTGTGAATGGCCATGAATAACTGAAATACACATTTGGGATTATTTCTGAGGTTAAATTTTAGCGACTAGTAGACTAGTAATATTCACCAGTACAAAGTTCACAAATGATGAGAAAATAAACTATATATGTTCAAATTAAAGAATTCTGATAAATAAAAATATGAACCTGTAATGATAAATTGTTTCAAAATATATATGAAGCAATAAGTGAAGAAGGAACTGTCTGCATTATGAAAAATGGATTGTTAAAATTTCACCTCTATTTCCTGTGGCTTGATTCTAGTTTCCTGGAGCGGACATGCTAGCTGGCTCAGAACCGCCTATGACTAAGCTCCGTGGGGTCTGTAGGTACCTGTACTCATGTGCACACAACCCCCCCACACACACACAAATACACAACTAAAATCAAAATAAAATCTTAAAAGATAAATGAACTCCCCATAGCATTAATAAAATAAGTAGTAACACAAATAACAGTCATCTGGAAAGATTAGTATATCTTGTCTTAGACTTGGAACACATAAAGATGACTTCTCATAAGGAGTGATACTTGGACACACCATCATTATTCTTGTCCAAACTTCTAAATGCTAACTTCATTTTCTTCTCATGGTCTTTCAGGTATTTCATAAATTCTTCAAAGTCCAGCTTTCCATCTTTGTTGGCATCACCAGTAGTAAAAATTTTCTACAGAAAAAAAAGAGAAAGATGTATTGTTAGTGTGGGTTAAAGTATTGAAGTAATTGTGTATAGGCTTCCAGTTTGGGTCAGATGTGTTAATATCCATTATGGCAGGGCCCTGTGAACTTTCCTGTGGTTAAGTAAAGATTCCCAGAGTTTCACAAGCAGTAGATGGTGCCAATTTAATAATTACTTGAAGACTAATGTTCCTCTTTTGATGACAAAAATAAGGGCCATTTCTTCTGAACTTTCTGTCATCTCCATTTGTGTTTTATACAGACTCGAAGGTGGGACTTAGCACTTTGGGAAGCTTTGTAGTGGAAAAGCAGGAGTATGTGAAGGGGTGGGCACAGGCTGGCTAGCCAGGAGCAGAGAATCCACTGTGGTTGTATGGAGAGGCAGAGCTGTTTTTAGTTAATCCCAAATTGAAAATGGGAATCAAGATTAAGATAACTATGAGTGTGATTAATCAAGTCCTAAACATTGGGGGAGGGGCTTTTTACCAAAGCTACTGTGCAACTTCCTGGACTGTTACTAGAGACATCAACTGTCTTCCTCCAAACCCATCATTTGTAAGGACCAGGTTTCCTGGCTGCAGGTGCTAAATCAATCTCTGTTTTTATCTATGGCCATGATCTGTTTGTATATTCAGTCTCTCCTACTTATAGATAGCAAAAGAAAATCATCAATTTAAATGTATAATTTTTCATAAAAGGTATCTTTTGTACCTCACACTATACAATGCAAATTTCTATTTTAAAAAGCTAATTATTTTTAAAAGTTAAACTCTCAGTCCGTATGAATGAAATTTCTTCTACAGACATATGAGAACCCACACATTAAAACATCTTAGATGTGATCTTTACCTGAGGAAAAGCCCAAGAGTTCTTTTAAAATATAATGTTCCACATGGTTGGTGCAGAGCCCTGGGGAATGGCTCTCCTTTGGTTTTGGTAAATGAACACTCATCCAAAATCAATGGATATGCAGGCCTCACACAATTTGCCAAAAAGATTTGCAGGAAAATAAAATGTTGAAAAGCAATGAGTAGTTTCAAAGAACTTAAGTTATAGCAAAATCCAGGATTCCTTCTGAAAGGCTAATTGGTATCAAATAAGCAAATGCACATCATATTTTGAAAGGAGAGAGACCAGGGTCCCAACATTCACCTCCATATAGAAGATTCCCAACTCTTGAAGTTCCCACTTTTAAGACACACCTCTTAGAAGTCCCAGCACCACTCCCCAACAGAATCGCTGACTGAGTGCCAAGTCATTAAAAGGAACACCTTTGAGAAATATTTATCCCAGCCAGAGCAAAAGACACAGACACCCAGGGCAGTACTTGGCTCATGGAATCAACTTTAAAGACAACTGGTCGACAAACGGTTGCTTCAATGAAGACTCCAAAAGTCTGCACAGCTAATAGATTGATGATGATTTTTACTAAGTTTACCCTCTTGGGAACAGAAACAACTCCCATTGAGCCCTCAAACACATATGGAGTGAAGAATGTTCCTGTTCTCTAACCCACGGCACATCTTGGGCTCATATGCTGTGGTGGTTTGATTACGATCGGCCTCCATAGGCTCATATATTTGAATGCTAGGTCCCCACTGTTTGGGAAGGATTTGGAGGTGTGGTCTCGCTGAAGGTCCGTCACTAAGGGTAGGCTTTGAGGTTTCAAGAGCTCATGAAATTCGCAGCTAGTTCTGTCTCCCTGCCTCCAGCTTTTGGATAAGATGTAAACTCTCAGCTACTTCTCCAGCTTCTGGCTGTCTGCCCACCATAATGACCATGTTTTCACCCTCTGCAACTGTAAGCCAGCCCCCAGTTGAATGCTTTTATAAGTTGCCTTTGCCATAGTGTGTCTTCACAGCAGTGGAAAAGTAACTAAGATGTGCCAAAGCTAATAATCTAGGCCTCTGGTGACAGGTAGGAACACTGAACAAGTTGACCCCCCCCCAAAAAAAGAAAAACTGTAGCCAACAGCAAAAGCAACCAGAAGTTGGAAATTTTATTATAGTCACAAAGAAAACTGATAAATATTCTTGAGGATATAAGCTGTGAGGACGACCTTGAACTTCTAATGGTCCCGCCTCCCAGTCCTCGGCGCTGGGATTAGAGGCCTGCCGCACAACATGGTATACGGCACTGGTGATTAAATGGAGCACTCTACCTACTACCTACATACCTAGGCCTTGGATGATTCTTAAGAAACAAAAGCAGTGCTAACCCAGCAGTACCTCAAAGGACCCAGGTCAGGTTTGGGAAAGTGTGAATTGGGCTTCATTCTGCTTCTGGAGGCCTCTCTAGAGGTCCTGGCCCCAGCATCGTTCTGAGCTTCCTGAGGCCCACCTGGTCATTCTCCCAAGACTGAGTGACCCCTAAATCCTCCAAGCCTTCCTGAAGTTCAGAGATGTCCACAGCTCCATCTTCATCAAAGTCCAGATACAAAAAGAGGTCTTCATAGAGGGACTCCATCTGCAATGTCTCCTGTGGCCAAGGTGACCCCTGCTACGGCCCTCTGAGTCCCCCAGGGGCAGAAGTCCCCGGGACAGGACAAAGAGGATGTATGCCCACGCTGAGAGAGAGGGGCCAAAGGCAAAGCATCTGTAGCGGTTACGGCACTGGAAGGAGAGTGCCTCATCCAACTGTCTTGGGTCTGTAGGGAGCACGTGCAGGGTAAAACCAGTGAGCTATTCGGGGAGAGGGGTTCCGCCCCCAAGTCCGGAACAGGAGGTCCTCCCTCCACCCTAGGTCCAACAGGAGCCAAGACAGAACCAGCCCGGCCCGCCAGAACTTTCAGAGATCCCAGCATATGATTGTCTAAAAAGGAAGTTTGTGTTTTGTCTTGTTTTGTTTTGTCTGTTTTGAAAAATGCGAGAGTAGAGCGGAACTGGGCTACTGCTCAGTGATCCACTAACAGGAGTACAGGTCACCTGACCACTTTTGGAAATCTGTGTGTGGTTTGTGGCTTGTCATTGTTTTCTGGGGTGCTGGGGAAGGACGGTGTTAGAACACGCACGTGCTGGGAAATTACTAATCTCTCCACTACTGAGCTTCGGGTCCGGTCTAAGCCAACCGTTTTTAGTCACTAGGCAGTGGAGTGGCACCTGCCCAGGAATCCTCCTTTTAGAGGTGAGGCACACCAGACTGGCTGTCACAAAGATGGCAAACAAAGGGAAAACAGCCCAGGCAAAACTGTTCTCCGTTCCCTCCATCTCCATCTCTCATCCCTGTTTATTCATCGTTTATTTTCACCCAATATCTTCAGTCACTCTGGGGACAAAACTGCTCCCTCCAGGTACCCAGAAGATAATCCCTAAATGGCCAGATGTTAAGGCAGTTGGACTCCAACAAGAAGGCAGGAGTTACTATTACTATATCTGTGGCTTTTTAATGTTTACCCTCAAGAGCCATGGGAAGCCCTGAACCCCTTCTTCATGTACCTGTGGCCCCTTATCCTGCTCCAGGAAAAGTGTGGAAGTACAGCTTCACAGAACACCTCCCTGCTTTTACATAACTTACTTTTCAAACTGAATAATTTTAAAAAGACAAAGAAGTTAAGTAATACCCAGTGAGACGGCACACACCTCACACCAGGGTCAGATAGAAGGCTCCTGAATTGCCAGGCCAGCCTGAGGTAAAGCATGAGACCTTCACTCAAAACTAAATATTTTAATCAGATATTGGTTAATAATAAATGTTTTAATTAGATATTAAAATTCATAAGGATAATTTAATTCTGCCGCTCTCAGTACCTTTGGCTCTATGCCTCTCATCACACTGAGCCCTGAGAGCAAGACAAAGACCATCCCAACCCACGCAGGCTTCCTCATTTGCACCACAGTTAAACCTAGGTACTGCTGTAAGCTGTGCAATAGGCACTTTCCCAAGAGCTGCTGAGCAGGGTCTTAACATGTAAGGCTGTTTCACAAAACCTGTTGTGGCCCAATCGTGGACGAATTATCCCACAAAAGAGGATTTTTGGTTTTTCATTCTTAGATGTATTTATTTCATGTGTTTTGCCTGCTTGTGCATTTACGCGCACGTCATGTGTTCTGGTGCTGGAGTAGGTCAGTCAAGAGCGCCAAGTCCCCTGGACCTGCCGTCACGGATGGCTGGGAGCCATGGTGGTCTGAGGAGTGGGGGCCAGTGCTCTGTCACTATTTCCCACACATTTCCAATTGTCCCACATTGGATGTCATTGTATTCTCCTCTACCCCATCCTTCATCTCTCTTTCTGCGCCCTCCTTCTAGCTTTTTGTTTTATTTTTAAGTCAAAGATTACACTAGAACATTTTAAAAGATAGTCTCAAATGTTGAGTACTATCTGAAATAATCTGATGAAAATAAGACACAGTTAGGACACTGGAGATGGAGGAAATAATCTGAAATTTAATGTTTTGACACAGAAGTCACGAGTAACACAGCACAGCACTGAAGAGTCAAGGAATCTGTTTATATGCTTAGAAGACTGAAACAGTACAGCATCCTCTCCTTCTGAAATCTGGACTTACAAACGAGGCTATACAAAATAATAAAGGGAGGTACACCCAGGATGAATTTACACTTTGGGGGTCTTTCTTTTGTCCACACTTATTATTGTGACAATATTTTCTGAGTATGTGGAAGAGAAAGAGGGTATGGGGTTGGAGAGAATCAGGTGTTTCTGAGCCCATGTTCATGCAATCTAAATAAATTTGCTCGGTTAGCTTGAGAAGTTCCAAGCAATTTTAAGACTAAGTTCTTTGCCACAATTTCACGGGCAGAGCTCCTACTGTGACTTTCTTAGGAGACACTTAGAGTCTGGGAGCCTGGGACCTTAGAAGCTGAGAAGATCACTGTATAGACAAAATGTTTGTGCCACTCAGCTTCCATGCAGACGGTAGCTTCCCTTATGCGATGGTATGCAGAAGTAGGGTTTTCGTTAAGTAATTAGTTCATAAGAGTGGAGCCCTCATGAATGGAATTGGTACCCTTGTAAGAGCTGGTAGACCTCAC